ATAAAAATTAAGTTAAAAGAAATGTTAAATATGGTCAAACATTAATATATAGTTTTTTTGGTGAAGTTTTTGTGGGCACGTGAAAGTTAGAAATTAAAAGTTCTTCATTTTTGACCTCTCTAACATTCGGCTTAATGCTTGCTCCTGACTTTGTGTAGCTTCTGTAGGTAGTCCCCTATGTGGCACCAGGCTATTCCTGAGTACAGCATGTGTGCTCAGCTTAAAATTTAGGCGGGCGCCAGACGCTCACAGCTCAGCGCCCGCGGAGCGTTGAAAGTTTCGTTTCCAGTAACAGCAGTGAAGATAGACGTGGAGTCTGGCAAATTCTTGGAAGGAGTTCTGACCGGGAACTCCGGTTGATGCTGGCAAATTGCCAGAGAGGTTGAGCTAAGCTTTAAAGAGCTATCTTACGAAGTTGCATTGCTAGGGTTGGAACTCTTCTTGAAGGTGGGTGGCTGAAAGATTTATGCCCTCCCCATGTTTAAGTCAAACGACCTCTTAATGTACTTTTTAACCTCCTTTCTTATATATGAATGCAGTTAGACCTTTATATTGAATGATAATAACCATCTTCAATAACGAATACTTGGCTTTCTGGGAGACGACGTTCTAGGCACAGTTGCAAAGGACGTAGCGTCTCTTGAACAGCCAAGAATCTATTGACTCTGTCCACGGAAGCCTACGCTTTCATCTTAAGTAATGCATTTCTTCTCATCGTTGTTATTGTTCTTCATCTAATGTCTTTTACTCAACGGGATGTTGACGACCAAGCACAGAGAAATAGTTTCCTGGAAGTTGATGTAATAACGAATATAAATTTATACGATGATAATAATAATAATAATAATAATAATAATAATAATAATAATAATAATAATAATAATAATTTATTGTAAGTTATACAAAGGTAAGAGGTGTTTCAACTTTTGCTACTACTCCATTCACAAGACGAAAATATTAATGGGTGTCAAAACCATAACACTTGCGCAGTTTTTCTAATAATCCAAAGCCTCGTATTAACTACTTTTAATATCTGTCACTTTATGCTGGATGAACAGATAAATGTTATCGAAAATTATAGTACTGCTGAATTTTTACCAAGCGCATAAAAACTTATACCAGATTCGTATCGCAACATTTTATTACCTTACTCGTTTGGTTATCAAACTCGGCTTAACTGCCTTATTTTCTAATTTTCTAATTTCTTGTTGAAATGGCATGTCCTATGAAACTTCTTTGGTATATACTTATTAGAACTCATTAGGGTAACATTTGCAGCAAATGATATTCGCAGGTTTAAGAAAGGTCAAGCAACGGGCATGCAAGACATTCTTGTGCGAGAAAGCATCAACTTTCTCATTTTTAGAAGAAATGATTGAACAGACAACACATCATAATCAGCGTAACTTTAAAAAAAATCAGATAACTTTTTTGATCCTTGTAAGTAGATTGGTGATGCAAATGACCATTCACCGAGCTGAAAGGGTACAAAAAATAAAATTGTATAACGAAAAATATCATTTTTTAATCTCGAAATCACGCACGAATGATCCACTTTGACAACAACATTTTGTAATTAGGTTTAATGGAAGAAATTTTTTGACTATTTAAATAATTAGAATATTTTAATAAATTTTTAGAGGATTTAAAATGTTACCTAGGAGCTTTCATGTGATAATACAACTTAACATTTTAACTATTGAACTATAAGACTAACTATAAGAAATGGTTCTTTAAAGAATCGTTTAAGCTGATTCTACAAATATTTCTCGCAGTATGATATCGGAAAGTCTCCGCAGAAAAGAAGCCTAAGCAAAACCTTTTTCTGACTTTGATTTTGTTATGACACCCGCAATTAATATGTGCATTTGTTTCACAGTATCTTATCACTAAAGAGGTCTTGAAAACAAATTCTTTCCAGTTTTATTTTCCTCCTCGTTAACGTTATATTCTTGAAAAGATACACAGGTATTCCTTACTACTAAATTTTAATCAACAAGTAATTAAAAACGAAAGTTTTTAAGATTTATCTCTTCAATCCCAATGCTACATATACAACAATGGGACTTTAAATTCACTACAACTCTTAACTACGAGTGTCGTACTAACCTTGTGAATTGCAACGGGTTCACTTATTCATGCTGAATTGTCTCTAGATATAGATGCAATGTTTTCGGTGAGACTTCTTGCTAGTGGATTATTACTCTTAAAATGTTAGTTTAAGTGTGTATAATATATTTATGAGTGACAAAATGTCCTCAAAAGTATTTAAGATCATGCATTAATTATTACTAACATTCCGCTTTTCTATTACACAATTTACAAAATTACTAATTAATAATATGAATAAAAGTATTTGAATAATAATCTGAAGCCACAAACAAGAGGAGAATAATTGATAACGATGTGAACAGTAATGAGACAGAACCAGTTACGGTTTTTAAAATGCTTTTAGATCTTTCAGTAAAGAAAAACGAAAATAAATCAGGGTCTGTAATTTGTCAATCATATACATAGGTTCTGCATATTACAAAAAAATAGCGCCATCTCTAAATCTATCAGAAATATTTAGATCTTCCAAATCAACAGTGACCATTCCTGTCCAAATCCACTTTGTGTATAAATGTTGACAGCAAGGAGACTCTAATGAACTTATCCAGAGCTGACTTAATATTTGTAATCACACCTTGAAAACACTCTTGAAAGCGGGACGGGAAATGAATTATGACATTTGAAGAAAAGTAAAATATTTGTTTTATATTAGAGGAAGCAGAAAGGAGCGCGTTGAAATGAACCGTACGCAGTTACTTTGAAAAGCCGATTCGGATAAATACGTTGCTTAGGGTTCGATGGAACTATATTTCATTTCGAATTCACCAATGAGCCGCGCTTTGTTTACAATTTGTTGCGTCTTCGCAACACTCTCTTAGCACTTCTTGGGCATTGAGGGTACTCGGAGTAATCATGCTTGAGGTTTTTGTCTCGTCACATCGCAGTCGGTGAGTGCATTTTATCCCTTCGGCCAGGAGCTCGGTGCCGTTAGTAGTCGGGGTTCTCAGACGGTCACCCGTCTAGGAATCCGTGGTGTCTCCAATTACTTAACTTCTGCGACTTAAACGGAGCGTAGTTAAGCAATTCAGCAAGAGAAGGCGGAATGTTTGTGTCGGAGTCTGTATTGGAATATACCAATAACAATTGGAGAGGGTTTTTGGAGCAGAAATGTTACCCTAAACGATTGAACTAAACATGTGATGTGCTGAAGCTTAACAGTGTTCTTCGTATGACAAATATTCTAACTAAACACTACAGGAATCAGATGTAATCGACATATTCGTTACAAAAGCTTAGGTCTGCAGTTTATCTAGTGTATTATATTGTGCAAGAAAAGTGATTTCACTAACCTAGTGTCACATACTATAAATGAGCAAAAAATATATTTTCTAACTAATGCAGTTCCAAAAAATTCGATGCTAAGCGTTTGTTAATAATCAACGATACATATATTTAAGAATTATATTTGATTATTGTCTCTAGTAGGAGTTTGTTATTATGCTATTATTAAATAGGAATCTGCATTTTTGTATAATTGTATTAAATACATTAATTTCATATTAATAAGAATCAATTCCTCTGGTAATATTTTTTTCAGTAAATATTTCTTTTAGAAATCATATTCTGGTTCTTGGAATTTAAATGCGATGAATTTCGAAGTTCCTGTGGTCCGGAAGTTTGAGCACCCAATTCGGACTTAATTTTACTGCACAGCAAAGTACAGACTAGCATTGAAATAAAATTAAAATGTGTAGTAATGTCTAGAGATAACTCAAAATTTATTATTATTATTATTATTATTATTATTATTATTATCATCATCATCACTGTGTTATTAGAAAACATCGTAAGAAATCGTTGCGGTAATAAAAGATCCCACAGTCGGTTGGTTGTCGGGGAGATATGTTTCCGTAAATCATCAGCTCCTTTGATAGTTTGGCACTTTACTTTGCGACAAAATGTGTTCAAAATTAAATAGTGGAAAAATGTGCTGATTTTCTACACTTATTCAGTCACACACAGTAGTTAGGGAAACAGAGACGTGGGATTGTTGTCAGAAAAATAAAGCAAAATATTTGAGGGAGTTAATCTTTGATAAAGCAGAGGAGTGCTTTTGAAACAAAATCCTTCAGTAAATTCACAAACAATGAATAGCGAAAAGAGGTTTCGAGCAGTTTCACGGAAACGACATGTCAGTCGTTAACCTCTTTTTCTGTCTCTACAGACACAACATCCGTATATTCAGCTTGTTCGTCCAACAACGTCAGGGAAAAAGCTCAAAGTAAAGGATGTATCTCAAACATAAACCTTTTGTTAAATGAGCACATTGCCTTCGGGACACCTCTTCCACATTCTTTTGTTTATTTGCGTGTTAGTGTTTCTTGAGTCTTTGAGATGTTACTTTCACTTTCTGGTGAAATGTCATTTCAATGTGACAAAGTGCATTAGGATTGTAGGAGATGAATAAATAAACATTAATTCGAGACAATCTAATATAAAATACTCACCGAAATCTTCAAAAAAAAAATATAAATCGAAAATCGTTGAGTAATTTACTCATTTCGACTGGCAAATATCGTACCCCAACACAAAAAGACTAACCTCCCACAGAGGCGGATCCAGAAAGTTTTTAAGGGGACGGGCGTTTTAGTTCAGATTCTTATAAATCATTTTGAAATAATAGAGTATTTATTAAAGTTATTAGCATTAAATTAAAAAAATGTACGAAATGAAGGAAAAATGTTTCGGATGTAATTCGACCTGTAAATGGTAATACTTTTGAATAAATTGGGTAAAACTACATCAAAGAAAGTTGACTTGGGGAGAGGTCATGACCCTAGTGCCCCCCTCCTGGATCCACTAATGATCTCTCACAATCTACGAAGACAGGTAACACTACGGATATTATAATGTCACACAACTGCGCCGTAGGAGCGAAAAATACTGACCTTAAATGACAATCCCAAACACGTACACCTGCACGTAGTGCACTGTGATAGCAGTCCAGAACGTCTGCTACTAAACGATCACTAGCACCCACTTAGAACCGGTCTGACTTGTCGAAACGTCACTGAGCACAGTTGCATGTCTGGCCACGTGCGCGCTGCTGGGAGCTGCTCGAGCACCCGGAAGACGTCTGCGGATCCAGAGCGCGCATTCCGTCGCTCGCACTCGCACAGCACTCTCTCCCTCTCTCCTGCGAACAACAAAAACAGCAATGAGACGCTTTGGACTCCCCACGGCACGCCAGCCACGCTTCTCCCGAAAGAAAAGATTCCGAGATTGGTGAGACAAGGGCTATTTTTAGCCGGGAAGAATACAAATCTCTATTAATACTTAAATGCCACGCCATTACAACAACGATCTCAAATAAACTGAAACTGGAGGCTTCATAATTAGATAAACTACTAAAATTTGTTTGAAAGGTGTGTTTTTAGGACATTAATGTGTTGGTGGTGGTTTTGGTGTCTGGTGTCTTATTTACAAGTTCCCAATTTTGATATTTTTGTAACAATTGCTCATTTCGTGTCTTTTGACCAACTATTATGAGCTTCAACATCAGAAAAATAATTAATATCACCTACAAGAACTCAAAAATGGCTACGAAGGCACAAATCATGACGTCGAAAACTTTAAAATTTAAATGCTCTGAATTTTTTAAAAAAAAATATATATAAAATGTACATGGTATACTATTCTCTAAATGGGGGGGGGAAATAATAATTTGTTCTATAAACATTAATAAAATAAGACAAGAAAGTAAAAGGCCATTATGTAATATCACATTGTGACAAAATAAACTTCTCACATCAATTGTTGAACTTTTTGAGTTGCTTGTGAAAAAGTAACGGATCCGCTGCGACGTGACTCTAGTAGCCGAGCGCACGTGTGTGCGGCAGCGGGGCGGCGGAGCAAGTGAGGGCGAGGCGGGCAGGTGGGGCGGGAGGGCCAGCCAGCGGCGATTCCGCCGGGGTCCGGCGGCTACTCACCGTGCGCAGGCGTGGTGGACGCGGCGGGCGGGGCGCTGGCTCTTCGGCAAGCGTCGGCGCCTCACTGGCCGGCGCCGCCGCTGCCCGACCGCCCGTCCGCCGCCGCCGCCAGGGGGGCTGGCTCCACGCCCGTAGCCGCCGCCGTCGCCTCCCGAGGACTCTATTTCGGGCCCGGCGGCGGGCGAGCGGGCGAGCGCACTCCGTCTCGCCGGGCGGGGCGGTGGCACCTTTCGCCCGCGCCGCGCAGTCGCTCGCGGGTGGCAGCACTGGACGGCGATGCTCGGGGATTCCCCCTGAACAAGTTTTCCGACACAAATGACGATTCGCGCTTGTTCACAGAGACGGGTGTTGGTCATAGGCTGAAAGAGGAAGATATACTATTCTGCTTCAAATGTGATTGAATTTCATGTTGGAATCATGGGATATTTCCCACGGATTGTGATCTAGGCGGTCGAACTCATTTTCGCTGCACATTACAACAGCACATTTCGCCCGAACTTTGCCGCACCGTCGCTGAAGCTCACCAGCACAAGGACGATGAGCGAACGAGCGAACTCGTGGGCGGTGAGCGAACATTCACCCTGACGTAGATTCTGGGAAGAATGGCTATTTGCTCTTACTCCATAAGTTCACGACTCTTGATAATTAGTACGAAGCACTCGTAGAAACTATTGTGCTACTACACTTTATAAATGAACATCCGAGTCATTGGCAATTTTGCCACAAATTATTATTTGGGTGTCCTTCGAGTCAGATGTCACAGTTTTATTATTTTCCGTTTTGGTTTTAAAATGAAATGAAAAGGGTAAGTTCATAAGTACGTAATTTATGTACATGTAGTACATAAAATATATCGTTAAAATTATAATTTGTTTCTTTTATCAAGTTTTAAATGTAATTTGTTCTGTTGAAGTTATTAAGGATTTTTCAAACTATACTATGAATCGGAAATTAAAACAAAATGAAAGATAGTGGTGCTACTACTGCCAAATCTTGAACCACTGGAGTTTGTAACACTGCTATTCTCTACTCTAATTCAAATAAGTCCTGTACATGTATTTAAATGCCTACCTAATCTTTCAAACGTCTATAGCTTTAGCAGCTTTTCATCTTTGAAAAATCATCACATTTTCTAAATTATAATTACCACGGCTAATTTATTACGTACTTAATTTTTACTATTCAATTCTTTTATCTTAACCGTGCTCTCATCACTCTCAAATCTTCTTGACAAGATAATTTTACATGACTCCCTTCACTACCTATTTTCTTGAAATTTTAACGTCTGCACGACAAATTAAAGTGATTGTTTTTTTTAGGTTGTTTAAAAATATATTAATAGGAATACTTTTTTAGTATTTTTCGAAGGTTTAGTGATAACATGAATATAAGATAAAGTCCACATGTCACATAATTGTATTTATTACACAATATTATTTACACATTTTCCATTTCACAACATGTATATCATTGTTGAAAGTTAAAGATCGAATTGAATTACGCACGTATTGAATTATTAATTCATTACTTACACACTTACGAAATAATTTTATAATTGAATGAAGAATTTGATAATATTCTCCATAATACAACACAAAACAAGAACACAAGTTAAATAGTATTAAGATCGCTTATTGGACTTATTTGAAGTTTAAAATTAAAAGTAGGCTTATAACATTAATAGTTAATAACATTAATCGCTGATTTTTTATAATTAGTCATTATTTAATATATATATAATTAATTAAGTAATTACTATTTTTATAATATAATCTTAGATTTCTTTTAGGCATTCTATTGTCATTTTATTGTCATGCCATTTGATTACCATTTTGAATTTCCTGGGCGTTGCAAACGAAAAAGTGATCATCATTACAAGAATGAATTGCAATGCCACCAGAAGCTGAATCATTCCCCGGAAAGGAGCAATCTGCCATTAGGGACAGAGAAGTAAATCGCCGTTTCCAGGAGCACTCCAAGTACCCAGCTCCAATGGAATGACGTTGAATGTGCGAACGATTCTTCATTTCAATAGTGAACTGTACTGCTAACCTTATCGTATTCTCCCAGGAGGAGGAACCGTCGCCATATGATAATGAAACGATTACATCAAATGGCAAAAGGAAGAATGTAACCACTGTCATTTAACAATAAAGTAAACTGTCACACAAGTAGTCACACGGTAAAGTCCACAAACAACCATGTTCTTTATTATTGATTCTGTGATCATTTTATGCTTGTAGTAAATTTTGTATTTCCTGGAAGTTACAAACGAAAAAATGCAATGATCTGCAATGATTAAATTGAAACGATGAACTCCAAATAATCTGCAATGAAAAATCGCGTCGTCATCTGTCGAGTCTGTAGAGCTGCGACCAGTTGGTTTCGAGAAGTTCTGAAAAGGACCAGCAGTGATGGACTGAAGTTGCCAATCGGAAAAAAAAATTCCATCGCAACAGTTTACCACACAGCCACAAGAGTATCCTCCGATTTAAATGTAGGGTGAATTGACTTGATCACCCGGTACGTGGTTGTACAATCGGGAGCTTCAATATAAAGCAAATTAAGTCGCTACGAATTGCTTATTCGTGTTCCAGCGGATCGCTGTCAATTCGTCTTACATGTAAATCAGAGTGCAGTAAATATTTTCTCGGAAAAAGAAATGGTCATCGTGGTCAGAGAAAGGAACCAGGCGGTCGACCGGAGTGCCGAACGAACCCCGAGCGCCGCGGGTTGACTGTTTGATTATTTCGTGTTTAGGGGGTGCGTCAACTGCTAAAGTAATTAGTCCTGTAAGGGAAGTGCATATTCTTGTCGTGGAGATGGCGGTGTTCTTCACCTGATGGATTGCGATATCCAGCGCCGACCTGCACGTCGGATTCCGAGAGTTTCCTCAACAAGATATCTCTCACCAGCAGAGTCCCCAGCCAGGGCACGCTCTAAGCTCCCTACTAGTCTCCCGACGTATGTGTTAATGTAGTGCATTTAAGAGTAAAGAATGAGGTTTGGGCAACGAAGAAGGAAAAACAGCACGCGATTCGCAGTCCGTTTTTAGCTACTGTTCTGGCATTCGCCTACTGTCGATTGGTGAAACAACGGAAAACTTCCGATCAGAGCAACCGGCCGCTAGAATTCTCCTTCAGACAGCGACCGAATTCGATCAAACTGTCCAGCTAGTATTGGAAAATCCACCTCCGTCAGGAATCGAACCGTAGTATCTCTCGGATAGAGTCGCTGCAATGCTAGCTCCGAGCTAAGCTGAGCTAGTCAATCGAAAAGGAATTTGCTCCCCAACAGCAGCGCACTGCCACTAGAGTAGAAAGTAGTCTCCTGGAAGAAGAAACGATCTCCGCGGGCGGTGAACTGGAGCAGGCGGTCGGCCGGCGCGCCGAAGGCTCCCGAGCGGTGAGGCGTGCGCGTATCTACATTGGGGAGCAGAAGGAAAATAAGATTTTAACTCGTGTTTAAGTTAGGAACCAACACAGAGAAGGATACTCGTAAATTGAGGACCAACTATTCCATCCCCTTCCACGTGAAAGTGGAAGGAGATACTTTAGTCTCGAAGAACATTTTCGTAGCCATTATTTTTAAAACTCACTTCCGAATTTTAAAGACTTAGGAGTGGTATATTTCTTTAAAAATACGGTTTGGTTAAAATTGGTTTTCATTCAATTGAATCATTTGTTGATTGAATGTATTTAGCATGTCTTACCATTTTTATATTCTTTCTTCTCTCAGATAATATTCTATAACGCTGAACATGAATCTTCTAGTGGCCCTTTGGCGTGGTTTTCATTTTGATATATAGGAGCAAGTCTGGAATATTTTCTATAACGCACTACAAAAAGCTGGACAACATCGCGGCGGTGCCCTTAACGTGCTCAATCAGTCCTTTTCCTTACCTGAGTTGATTTGGTCCCCGATTTATATGTAGAATTAGAAAGTAAGTTTCGCGAGAAAAGATGAAAAGGTTCTTTGGTCCCCGATTTATATGTAGAATTAGAAAGTAAGTTTCGCGAAAAATGATGACGGGATTGTTCGGTCCCTAATTTCCAATAGGACGTGCGGGTGTCAGGCGGAGAGACGATCGGGCGGGGCGCGGGTGCCGCCGCCGATGCCGGCCGCGGCGCC